AAATTTTTACCCAAGTGCTTGTGTCTTCATCCATTGCTATAATCTCCAACTTAAAAAGTTTCTATCTTCTCAGTGTGTTACTCTCTTATTTTGCACAAACCTACATCTAACCAACAACAACAACAAAATTATAGGTAGCAAAATAAAAATGTATGTTCAGTCACTGATGTAAACATTGTGTATTGTGATTTTCAATTCTACAATTGTCGTACAGTTACAATCAGTTTGTTAAAAGTCCCATTCAAAATATTTTTTAATAAGTCACATAGCTTATTTGATACCAGTTTTCACATTAAATAAATTGCCCTACTATTCTATTCAATCTACTTACCTACTTGTGCTGAATCATTTTAGAGATTTTAGAGCTTTTTCAAAATTTCTGAATTCAACTTCACATTTTATTAGGAGAAATATATGAACCTACCACAAAAGCATAAATATAGATTGATAAGTTTAAACGATATGCAAGTTAGAACTAGCTATTCAGTTAGTAACAAGTTTAAGGTCAACAAGAATCAATCAACACTGAGGTCTACAGGACAAGCTGCGAATCATATATGGAGAAATTTGAACACTTCATTTCTAACTGAATTTTGTGCTGATGATGTCGTTCAGAAGAATGACAAAATCTCCATGACCAAACCTTCCAGCTCAGAGAAAAAAAATTCATCAAAAAATATATATATTCAGTCATTTAAAGCGAAAGGAACTGGGTTCGAGTTCAAGACTGAACATCAACTCTGAGATGCAAGTACATCCAACTGATGAGTCCTAAATAGAACGAAAAGCGCGTCCTGGATTTGGCTGCTAACCATTATCCATCTTTGCTTAGAATGCTTGTGAATTAAGACAATATCGACGCAATCCACACAGGATGCACATATGTCAATATTAGAATGATCAATTGCAGTCTTAAATAACAATGGGAAGATACAAGTAAACAGCATCAAGTGAATTTAATTCACTCGATTGCTTCGAAATTATTGAAAAAAATTAAAATTTGACATTTTCATATGGAACTTCGATAGGTTTATCCAAAACAATACCATGTTCTAAGAATATAAAATAAAATAAACATATAGACTACAACAGTATTGTCTATAAAATGTTTTTCTTCATGATGAAACATAAATATAACACCCATATTTTACATTAATATTGAATTACCTTATTAGTATGGATGAATCACAATGTACATTATAATGTTACATAGATTGTTTATGTATTCTTAATAATTGACAAGTCATTACTGATTTCAATATTCAATTAATTTCTTTTTTTAAATAATTAATACATATGTCAATTAGATTAAACATTGTATTCATACAATTTATACAATCACCTGTAACTAAAAGACTATTAATAAATTTAGCTGTATAATTTTTTGATTAAAAGTTGTGATATAAATTGCCATACGCCAAAATTAAATAAGTAATATAGTAATATTTAATTTCAAATCGTCTGTACCTTTCGTATTTGTATTATGATAAAGTAAGATTTTAAATATTGGAGAAAGTATTATGAAAAAAGATGGATAGTGGCTAACAATGGAATCCAAGATGCACATTTCGTTCTCTTTGGAAATAATCAGCTGGATGTATCTGCATTTCAGAGTTGATGTTCACTGCGGGAGAAAGTATTGTGTGGTGTGCTACTAATGTCGATGGATATAAGTGGTATGTATCATCAAACAAAAATAAAATGCATAGTGGCAAAATTTTAAGAAAATCAAAGAAAAAAGAACGAGAACAAAAAGTGATTGGTGTAGAAATGAAGGTCCAATGAAGTTCGAGACAACTGATTGACATTTTGTAAATGATTTACTGTATGGTTCTTAGATTTTACTAAGATGTTCTGTAGTTTTGTATTCAAATACGTTCGATTATCCCCACTTGTGTTCTCGTTCATTCCAGTAATCCTTGAAACAATCGATACAGTACTAAACATATTTAATACTAATTTATTGATATCAATAATTCCACTTTGTTTAAGAAGAAAACTATATTGACTCAGATCCAAAATGAAAATTGCAAAAAATCATCCAAGTTTAAGGCCTTTTGAATGTAGATGAAACGTTACTGATAGTCTGTAACTTCAGTTTTAGTTCCCCAGTTTTTGATAGTACTTACTTTAATATTTAAGCAACTGTCACACATATATATACATAACAATTCTAAAAGACCTTAGATCCAAAATCTTCTCCTATTTTTTTTCATCAATCTAAGTTACACATTAAAACCTCCTTTATTTTTCTTTTTTTAGTATCAAGTTATATGTCTTACCATGTTTTAAATTTTACATCATATCAATCTTTTGAATAAAAATAAAATGTTAAAATTCTAAATGAAAAAATGAATTAAACCATAATTTATGTCAATAATAAATAGTTGATTAGCAACTACTTAATACCTGTTAGTAGGTTCCACAAAGTTTATAATAGAAATTTAATTTTTTTTGTTTGGTATTCATAGTCTATCATTTTCAATATTTAACAGCATGTAATAGAAAATTATGTACAATAACTATAAGTGGCGAGACTACAGTTTATGGACGAACCAATCAGATTTACGATAACAGGTGTTGCATTTTGGCGAGGAATTCATTCACCCATTCTGCTAAATGGAATCCTCGTATTATAGCCGATGTCAGTTCGTGATGAAAACCACAAATCTAATTCTTGACCCCAACCATCAATTATAAATCATAATCCTTATTCTTCAAACTGCTTAATAACCCTTACTTAGCCCTATTAAGTAGGTAGACACTTTCAAGGTTAGTACAGCGTCGCTCAAAGGTCGTCCATAAATTATAGTCTCACCCTATAAGTTATATGAATCTTTAATATAATAAGGGAAATGTTTATATTATACTAGTTGTTCATACACTTTCATATATGTATATTTAGTTCATTTTTTGATTAATTATGCTTAGAAAAGATTTTATTTTGATTATCTCGTAGAATGAATATACATTTGATATGACTGTTAGAATCATTCAACATACCAACTAGTATCCTATGACATAATAATGTAAATCCATGTTTCAATGAATTTTTATTCTTTGAACTAGATGATTTGGTCGTGAATAGTTGAATACTAGAAAAATTGTTTTAATTGATAGTTTAATTTAGTTTATAAAGTTACATAAATATTTATATCATAATAAAATAGATTCATATTAGTTCTATAATGGACTATAGTCTATTTTAAAAGAAGATGTACAAAATTCATTTTCCACAATTATTAACAATAGTAATCGTTTTTTTCTAAGTAAATGAAAAATAGTATCAATATGAATATTAGTAATATATGTCGAAAGATATAAGTAGTATGTAACATCGATAGAAAGTGAAGTGATTGGTGGTAGAAGGTTAAGAAGATCAAAGAAAAAAGAACGAGAACAAAGGATTATTGATGTTGAAATGAATTAACAATGAAATCCAAGAAAATTAATTGACATTTGGTAAATGAAGTATTTACTGTATAGTTCTTATATTTTATCCAGAGATTCTGCAATTTTGTATTGAAATATGTTTGGTTGTTCTCACTTGAATTCTGTTACAATACAATCCAACAGCAAAAGCAAGTTCTAGGAATAATTTAGATGAATATAATTCCATTAATTTTTTATTGTAAAATTCTGAGTAAATACGTTGTGTTTCTATAAGCAAAATTATAAACTCATCATTAAACCATTGGTAATAACAAGTTATATCATAGTAAATGAGAACACAAGTGGAAACAATCGAATGTATTTGAGTACAAAATTACAGAATCCCTTAGTAAAATCTGAGAACCATACAGTAAATACTTCATTTGCAAAATGTCAATTAATGATATCAAACTTGACTGTTCCCTCTGTAAGATGTCAATCAATCATCTCAGATTTCATTATCCTTTCGTTTCTACACCAATCATTTCTTTGATCTTCTTAATATTTTGCCACTATGTATTTTACTTTTGTTTGATGATACTTACTACTTTTATGTGTCAACATCCGTAGCTAACACTACAATATCATATCACTGTACTAAAGGTATTTTTGTGCAACTCTTTCCAATTCATAATGAATGACTAAAAGAAACCTTAGATACCGAAATACTTTGAAGTGTTAAGTTTATTTATGCTAATGTTACACAAAATAATTTCTAAATATTCGGTGATGATGTGACATTATTCTTTGTATCTTAATGTAAACTTAGTCTAGTTGTCATAAGTATTATGAAATTAGTTTATATGTCTGAAAATTTCGTGGTAAACATTACTGCTTCTGATGAATTCTATATGTAAAATAGTTTATTCCATTCACAATGAGTGTTTTGATAATGACTTTATTTATTTTAGAGTGGAACATTATAACTATCAGTGGAAATGTATTCCACACTAACTTAAATTATTTACTTTCTTTTGTTTGGACGGCTTCCGAGAATCACGACGGAGGCGCCAGAGGCCCTGAAGGAGCCGAAGAGTTTCCATCCATTGGTTGAGTAAAAGATATGGTCGCATCATAACGTCTATTATCTGATGACATATACCAAGTGTCAAATCACTGGATGAAATCCAGAGTTCATAAGTTTGATCTTACTCTAATCAGAAATGGATTGTGATTGTACCATTCATTTATTTTGCTATTGTATTTAATGCTACCCTATATTCAGAAAATTGATGCTCTACTAAGCACTTATCTACGTTCAGTTATTAACTTCAATATTCAGTGCAATCAGTTCATTGATCTAAGATATATTTGACATAGGGAAATTTACTATCAGTATGTTTACCGTAGTTCCCATAAAGCTTGTTTATTCGTTGCTAATTAGCTTTAACAAAATGACTCAACAATGCAATAAATACCAATCATCTCCATTCTAAAGTCATATAATCTCCATCATATACCATTACATTGAAGAGACAAATAGCTAACTTAACAAGAATAAGACAATCTCATTTTCTAACAATATGGATTTCCCTAACTTCTAATTTTTATTTTTCTCTTTTGTTTAGAAATTTCATGTCCTTCAATTAACTCTATTTCAATTATTTCAAATAAATGTAATGGATATTTAACATGTACTGTTAGTCCAAATCTAGTACTTGAATCATTACATCTAATTAATTCAAGAAAGTCTACTCTTGTTAAACAAATGTCATGTACAAAATCTTACCTATATTTAAGATATACATGTGGTAAGTGATGTTATGGATAATTTAGTTTTCTCTTACTGGTAATTGATCTATTTATTGTATACATATATAAATGATCATTTTATTTGAAACAATTTTCCATCAATTCACAAACCTGTCGGATTTGAAGAGTAAAGTTTTCAGTACATGAAATTGAGATCAATTGAAAATCAAGAGAAATGGTACATCTGGTCGTTTTTAATCTAAGGTCACATAGTATGGTGTACTTTAACATTATTTAATAGAAATATAATTACGAAATCACAGGTGAATAGCTTCCATACAATTGATCCCTTTTCTGATTTTGAACAGAGCCACAACAACAACTAAGGCAGAATAATATAAAATGCTTACAATCATATATGTAATGAAAGGTAATATTAAGATATGATATACTCTGAAACAATTGACATTGATGATGAAAGGGATTAGAATGACAAAGATTATCAATATTTACTATCTATATATATGTAAGAACAGATACGAGATCATTTGGAGAAGGAATTCAAAAACTTAGGAGGGTGGATGAAGCAGTAATTAAATCAGGTCTGGAAACATATAAGATAGATTGTGTGATAATTAGATAGGTTGTGGAGAATTTACATAAAATTGCTGCAATTAGAAATCGGTAAGATGGATTACATAATAATTGAACAGGATTTGAATTGAATGGAAACCGATGAATAAAGGGATAATTTGGTGTATATCAAATAAGAATTAGTTAAGTGAAAACCACACAACGAAATAAACACTAAAAAATAATCATAATACTGAAAATAACAATAAATAAATAAAGATTTACCAAGCTAGTGGTAAGCTGATTACTATCTATTTCTGGATGCATAATTCAGATTTCAGTTTATATATTGCTACGGTTTCAGCAGACTGGAGATGGGCTGCACTTTTTATCTGTTAATAATTTTGAAGCGTTGTGAACATGTTCTCTTTTTCAGGTAAGTATCTGACTATCTATCGACTAACTATGACTAGTGGAAATTAACAATTTTCGTATTATGATAGATAACTACTGATGGAAATGTCTGGTTGTCACGTGATACAGTAATTTTATTAAATAAAAGTACTAACCATTGAATTCAAGCCTTTTAACCTGATGATAACATTCTTGCATCAGACCTGAAGGTCACAGTTACAACTCTTGTACAGTTCCAAAGTAATAAGAAACAGCCTTTGCTTGGATTTTAGTAGCTGTTTAGCTAATAAAAATCCAGAATAGAAATCATCTTCAAATGTTTAATTTCATCTTCCTAGACTGAAATTATATCCAAAAGTTTTGTAAAGCACTAGCTTAATTCATTTCGTAATTTATTTGTTTTCTAGTGCATAATTTATTGTTGGAAAATACTCTTCGTTCAGAGGATTCAAAGAATTCAATTAAACTTAGAGAAAAACATACTTTTAAACCAAGGAAGAGACTAAACAAGTCAAGTGGGAATGGAAGGATTAATCATAAAATGAATGATGTCAATGTTATATTATTTAATGATAATTTAAGTCTTTACTCTGGTCAAATAGATGCATCAACTTCACAACCGAATTCTGTGGAACCCAAACCAAGAAGTAGGTGTATCAGAAATAGATATAGATTTTTCTTTTAATCCAATATGATTTCATCTAAATTAACATGTGTATTTATGATAATCCTTTGTGTATTTTAGCTTGCTGTAGAATGATGAAATATAAAAGATTGAGAGCTTTTGAACTTTAGTTATCTTTGAATATAGTTTCAATAACGGTACTCATTGCTGATGATTCACATAACCAGAATAAAATAAAAATTTTGTGAAACACAAATGTTTAATGGTTTTCTGGATGTCACTCGTTGTTAGTATAAATGTGTCTATGAAGTATGAAGGGTATTTTGATTTACTCGTGTAAACTCTACTTTATATTGTTTGCTTTGAACAGGAAGTGGTATTTTAGTTTTTTGATTAGATTTATTTTAACAGAACTGTCATACCATGTTCATTAATGAAAACATGTTTTCACAAGATACTATTACTATTATTTTTTAGATATCTTTATATTCAGTTTCAATAATGAACTATCTGTAGCTAGACGGCCACTAAAATTCATCAATTACTGAAAGTGTTTCCGTCTAATATGATATTCCTCGGCAGTGCATATACAAGACCCTATCAGCTATTGGACCCAACATCTTCAGAACATTCAGTGAGATCTCAACCTTTAGATAATTGAGTTAGGATTCACATTGTAGTATTGTTCGGCCATCATCCAATAACATTGGTGGGTAATTATTTCAATTCCGATATTGTTAACTCCCACCGGTCACAGCTTATCGATATATTTATAGGAACGACCTTTCAACAGTGGTCACGAATGAAAACATGTTTGATATAAGTATAAAGGCTTTAATAAGTTCGTTGAAATTTGTGATTTACATTAGGAACTAACTTTAATTGTAATCTAGTAATAGCTTGTCTGAGATGTAACCCATAAGATAATATTTTAACAGCTTTATATAAATACTTTAATCATGGCACTTAAATTTTCAAGTCTTGGTGATGAAATAGATTCCAGTCAAATTAAAAATGTGATACCCCGAAAAATGTGAGTAATTATAATAAATTGAATTTGTTTGAAATTCACTGGATAACTGTTTGTGATATTTATTTAGGATAACATGTTTCCATTGTTTCATAGGTTAAAGTGTCTTACTGAATTGTAATACATCCTGGATAGATGTTTCACGAATTTAAAGATTTAGAAAGTTCTTGTCGTTGTTATGACAGAAAAAAAAAGACAAATTTGCTAAAACTTAGATCTCAGCACCTTCATTTCTAAAACTTACACTTTGAAAAACAGTTTAGAGTTTAGTGAGATGAGTTGTAGAACATGACACTAACTGAGGAATCATTTAAAACCATGATAAATTGAAAAATTCTCTCATCTTAGTTGGATACTTTATATGGGATCCCACTCAGAAAAGTAATATGTCTTCACGAAAACGATAACTATGTAACATTGATTAGGAATTTAATGAACTATGTACATGACATAGCAACAAGCTTTAGTATACGCTTAACGAGTAAAACATAAAATCTATCTGTATTGACAATGAACGTCAATTATTGTTACCTTTAAACCAATTAACGTATTTATGTTCTTTCTAGCAAGTGTAGATATACCAATACGATGTTAATTATTGTTGTAAATTAACCCTATACAATAAATAAAAAAATGTACCATGACAAATTAAATATCTTTTTATAAATAATTGAAATCTGATACTAACGGATAAAGGAAGACTTTCAATACGTTCTTCTAAAGATAATATCTTTTCTACTTTTTTTTCAAGGTGCAAATATTGCAATCAATGATGAAATATTAACTGTACTTAACGAATTATCTGTTTCTCCAAAGACAAAACCAACTCATATTTATCTTTCTGCTTTGTTACCTTCAGTACTGTGTATAATGGTTAGTTGTATATTTGCAATAGCTATATTATGTCATAGAAAGCAATTATTCAAGAAAAAGCTTAAGTCTAACTACATTTCTAGAATATTGCATAATCCAACCTATTGTGATCAGCATTCCACGTATAATGTTACAATTGATGATAACAATCATGAAACCGTTTGTCAATCAGATTTGCAAACAAATCATTCATATTTGAGTAAATCTGTCAAGAATTGTATATCTGAATGGGAGAGTGGAAAAAATTACACTCCTTATTTACAATCATTACAACAAGTAAATTGTTCAAGTCGTCATTCGACTCAATACTGTCCTAATTGTAACAATGAACAAAAAGATCTATCACATTTATTTCACTATCAAAATATTTCATATGGTGATAATGATATTATTAGTAATAATAATATTATAAATCAGTCAGTTAAAGCTAGTCCGAATTCAAGTGGTCAGATGCCTAGTACAGAGAACTCATTTCCATTGACTAGTTCTGAAATGATAAATAAAACAGAAAATTTGTCCCCATCATCAGTAAAATGTTTATCACATGGATTTGTCAACAATTCAATGATGCATTATAATCAGTGTTATTCATCTCAATTTAACAATACTACTGGTTTGACTTATGGTAATTTTACAAATTGTTCCAATAATATTAATAATAATAATAATAATAATAATAATAATAACAATAATAATACTACTACTAATAATAATAATAGCAAACAAATCAATCAACAAACCAATAATCTTAAATCAAACGAACATGAGAACGATACTAAACTAAAACAACTTCATCCTCTAAATGATAGTTTAGTAAGTAATACAAAATTGTATTGTTATCAAGACGATGAACTGATTCCTAATATTCATGCAAAGTTATATGATGTTAATATTCATGAAAAAGAAAAGATCACTTCCGGTTCACAGGAGGAACCTGTGATTATGAATAAAAGAGATTTATCGATAAATTTATCAGAACAAATAAATTGTAAAATTAAGCGTCGATTAGCACCACCGTTATTTAGTTCTGGAGATGATTTATTCCCAAATTTTATGATGAATACAAAATCACCAGCTCACTTGAAATACGGTATAATACCTGTGGTTCGATATCCTTACGATTCGGATGATCAGTTAGAAGATTCAGATTCTGATGTATCAAAGTATCCCCAAGCTAAAGATTCGTTGAATTTTTTGAGAAATTACGAAAATAAACCTGACATATGTTTAACTGTAAACAATGATAATTTAAACCAAAACTATTCAATTTCTACTTCACCAACATTTAATATGTTAAATCCTAATAGGAGTCAATTATCTCGTACTGCATCGGATCATAAAGTTCAAAATCCAGTTAGCCCTTCCTTGATCAGAAGTGTAACTTCACAAATAACTAATAATTCAGCTAATTCATTTATAAAAATATCCGAACCATTTACTAAAAATATTTGTACAATACAACCAATAAATGTTTTAAGTAATAAACATAATTCAGAGAATCACATAGAATCTTCACCGATAAATATTAAAAACCGATGTTTTATTTATGATTCAAACAAATTACCTACAGTTAGTGATAATGATGATCTTTCTAACAATATGTCCCATTCCCTACAACCATAAATTATTGGAAACTTTGAATACATCCTTGAAAATATATACACACATACACATAAAATATTACTTGTCTATGTTAAGTTCCCTTGTCATCAATTATAATATCTAATCAACATATTAACAGTTATCATTACTTTGTTGATCAGTTGAATTTCAAAATTTATGTAGGTTTTAAACTATAGAATATATATATATATATATATATATATATATATATATATTCATATGCAATATACTTCATTGTAGAGACATTCAACTGTATATAATTTAGGAAGAAAGATAATAAAGCGAATTGACACGCTTACATAAACTAATGATAACCATTAAATCATTTCAAGAATTGTGTACATTATGTTTTAGAAAAATCCATTAACTTAATAGGTATATGTGTCAGCACACATATATATCTATCGGTTTTTGAAATAGACGTTATATAAATTAAAGCAGATCTTTCTTTGTATTCTTTTCATTTATTTATTTATTTCTGTATAAATAACATAAAATATTCAATCTTTTCTATGTATTTAGTTATAAATCATCTCTCTACCATTTTTAAATATTTCGATTATGCATAAAATAAAGTAAAAGCAATGACATGGTAGTTGCTAAAAGAAAAAATTGACTTTCTTCAAAGTGTATTTCTATTCAAACCAACCATCTACCTTGACAACAACAATAATAATTATATATGAGTTATTCAGTTTTCTTATTAAATCACATAATGTTGATCAATTTAATTATAATTTAACTGATATTATCATTAAAGCTAGTTGTATCCTTCAATTTTTAATTTTTTAAGGTTCGTTTATTTCTTTGTTTTAATTTTATTTATTAATAATGTACAAACAGGAATGTGACGATATTTTGTTGCTAAACAAATGGTTTTTTTCATTTACCAGTGATTGATATCATATATATAATGCCTCTATTACATAGCTATAGCACAAATCTGACGTAAGACTTATAACATTGAAAACACCATTTCTTATATATTAGTGTAAAGTAATTTGTTGATATACGATTGATTAAAGTTTTTTTATGCTCTGTAAAAAATGGTTATATCTGTGGAGAAACGCTTAAACAATAAGCTGGAATGTGTACTTTTCAAATTAATCTTTCTCATGATACAGCGGTGTAAGTGTTTCTAATAAGGAATCTCATCACTAAACATTCGATTCTCGTAATAAGATGAAAATCAAATTATAAACTCCTGCATTTCGTACAGAATACAAAAGGAATGATTATCACTGTCTAGTGCTAAATAAACCTACTTCGTAAAGTATAGTTTTGACTCCTTTTCATTCATATTTCCAACTGTATTGGTTATCAGGTTTGTAGAAATACGGAAACTGTATCTTTTTCTTCATCGATAAAATTTATGATATAAGAAAATAAAAGCCGAAAATCATGAAATTTAAAAAATCAGATCATGTCCGTGTTCCCAATATAGATTATGAATTATAACCAATTCTTATGAAAGACTTTTACTGTTACAGTTCACACATTTTAATTTTTAGAAAAGTGATATTCTTCAGAAGTGATTTTTCATCACAGATGTCCATAAGCGTCCATCTGCTACAGATAACACTTCAAAACTACTTATGTTATTCTTTAGTAGTAAAGGTAAAGAAGCTTAATATTTTCTGATGAACCGTTAGAAAGGCTTCAACTAACTTGTTAGTAAATTTGACTGAATTCCGAATCTCAAAATAGCTGGTCGCTATTTGCATTCAGGAGCTAAGCAAATTATGTTCAAAAGTTTGGAGCGGAAGGTGTTGGATACATGCACTGATATAAACACCAACAATGCAAATATATCCAGATGACGATTCCCAAACCAGACGAAACGTGAATAATGTTTCGAATAGCTGTTGTTGCATCACCATCTGTCAAATGATTATTTTATTAAAAAATTACCTGATTGATCCTGAGAAAATCACAGAAGCAATCGTGTAGGTTACAGAAAGGAATCAATAGATTAACATTAGGCCTAGCTTAAATGTGTTAACGAAAAGTATTGGCTTAAAGAAAGCCTTGTTAATATAAATGGTTCTACTTCTGGCTATAAACCAAATTTCAGTGAGAAATGTCTGACTCTTTGGTCGAACTTATGAATAGTAAATAATTCTGAGCTCGATTAATAGTGTTGAATTTAAAAGATAAGAATTAATCAAATATACGCTTTCTCTTGGCTTATCATAGTTACGAAAAATTTAAAGTGAGTTAGTAATTTAATTATATTTCGGTTATAGACAAAATGATGTTCATTCAGTCATTTTTTATGAGTTTATAATGATTGAATTCCACTGTAACTTTTGAGCATGAAAGAAATCAAATGAATAAACATAAATCATCCATCTTTGCTTATGATGCTTGTGAATTAAATCAATATCGAGGCAATACGCATAGTATGCATAGATGCCAATAAGAGACTGATGAATTGCATCAATGAGAATACTCAAGTAAACAATACCAATCTATACATAGTAATCTTACTAAGAGATGAATCTTTGAAATGAATTTAAATGATGAATAATAATCCTTTTTTAAGTAATATTAGACAGTTAGACATTAAACTGGGAAAAAAGTTAGATATATACATGATAATACTGAATGGTAGATAAACGTAATGTTACTAAAACAATTAAAACCATAATGCTATAACTTGTGGCCTGTGTGCCCTGTTAATGTATAACGTAACGACACCGCCAATTATAGAGTAGTGAATTATCGATCGGACCAAAGATGCATAAAACCCGTACGAGCAGTCTAGAGTCCTTATTGGTTCTGCTTTTTGTCTAGCACAGTCAGTTAAGTCAAGAACATCAATCTCACCCCCTGCAATATCAAACATTTATTACCAACATATTGGGTTTATATACCGACCAGACAGACCACACCGTACCATAAAATAGAAAATAATATTTGTACAAGAATTAGACAAATGTGGCTGTGAACGAGGGAGGTAGTAATTAATAGACCGGGCATAATTCAACAATGGTAAATCGTATAATATTAGTTCATAGGTCAAAATAAAGCTCACAATAAGAGGGACAGGAATATGAGCAGTTTAGTTATTTAACAATTATACGCATATTATTGGTTCATAAATGGATCCCAAAAGTTACCATTCATTATGCTTATCGGGACCTAACACACTACAATTCAGATCAAGTCATTATATATTTCAGTTTATGACATTAAGTGATTTTGATATATTATATTTAAAAATACTAAACATTTTCATGATCTATATTAGAACAACACATACATGTGAATAACACTGTAGTGAATGAAGACTTGATGTGGAAAACCAATTTTATTGTTATATACAAAATCAAACTATAGCTTAGTAAAGTATGAAAATTATACATTGATTAAGTGATTCACATATCTTCCTTCCGATTGTTTTTCGTTTTCCTTCCTCTTCTCTATATTTCACTTTTTTGTTGGTAAGCATTCTACTTCCAATTGCTGCTACATAATACTTATGCCTGTTCAGATAAGTAGTGCACCCCACAACACTACAGTCAGTTAAATCTTCTTCAGAATTTACTATATTATACAGTAATATTTGAGCGAATACACTATATATATATATATATATATAACCATTGAAGGCAATTCATTATGCAGTGATAACAATAAAATATATTATAAAACTTAGTATAATAATTAAACCACCAGGCAACTTAACCAAAGAATTAGTGAACATCTACCAGCTTGGTTTATAAAGGGCCAGATAAGAGCAATTCGTAGTTCTATCTTGGCACATCTTATTGATGGCAGCCATGCTGTAGATAAATCGAAATCATTACGAGTGATCTATCGTATACCTCCGTCATTTCCCAAAGGAGTTCGTTCCCGCCTCCTACATATAGCTGAAGCCATAGGAATTCGTACATATAACCTCAATTTATGTGTACAGAAGAAATTCGTAACCCCCTATCCCTCCCATGGCCAGTCATAAGTTAACTGATGATTTTTTTAATTATTATTTTTTTACTTTTACTCTATTTTTGTTACGGTTAACCTTATTTTCACATCCATTATTTCACAGATTGGAATCATGAGTCAGTTGAAGCTAGACCACCATGGGAAACCTGGAAACACAGGAAGGTCGTCCCATCCTAGTGTGGGACTCCTCGGCAGGGCGTATCCACGATCTCGCACCTCGCGGGTTTCGAACCCAGAACCTATTGGTTTCGCGTGCGAGCACTTAACCATTAAACCACTGAGCCGGCGTCTAACGGTGTTAATGTCTAACTTCAACCAATCCACGAAGTTACGCCACCGTATACCATTGTCTTCAGTGAGCTGATATCTCACAACAGACCTGGTTGAACTCCACTGGTAACGGCTTCCCACTAGAACTCCAGGAGTATCTCTTGAATATCTCTTGACTCATGATTTCAATCTGTGAAATTTCTAAAAATCTCCACATACCCCTTCTGATAACATCCATTATTTGTTTGTAATTTTCCGCCTCTTGCTGTTTGTATTCTTCACTATCTAATTATTTACACACTTCTTATTACGTAATGAATTTAATGTTTTGTGATGACTATCCCAGGTCTATTTACCCACGTTTGATCTTCTACTTCCAACGTTTAACTATTGATAAGACTTTGTTATCGTATTTTATTATTCTAACCTACTATCAGTACACCTGTCTTCCTACTATCAACTTGTATTTTTACTAATTATGTGTGGTGACCTATTCTATTTCATTGTGATTAATGACCCATATTGCCTTGATTGGTCTAACATTTTCGTATAAATATTCATGTATATTAGGGTAAAGTCTGATGACTATCTAATTGAAAACAATTGTTCGCCTATATGTATTGTTCTAATATATATATATATATATATATATAATATAGAAAACTTACCTGGAACGGACAGTACACTAATTTCCATAGCTGGGTCCCATTGAGTAGAAAGAGGAACTTAAAATATTATTATGGCCTTTGTGTTTGTTGATAATCTTCATATTTGTCAGTTGGACTATTATCTGACCCATAAATTATTTTCAATGTTGTAGAACTCGTGACAAAATGGCTATATCGATGCAATCTCTTTTAAATACACATATACTAACAAAAACTGATCAAAAATTCAGTCAAGAACTTTGATAACATGTTTATTTAAACTCTTTCTAATAATGATGTAAACATAACAAGTTTTTTAAACATGCATTAACATTTTTATTTACGTCAGACATTATGTGACTTATGCAAATGATTTTGCATTTACTGTATAAACTAACATCACTAGCAAAAATGAATTTCCGATCTATGGAAATGTTACTTCATACAGTAGTTTTACTTTTGAAATCATATTATCATTCGAACTTTCTTTTTTTCATTTAAGAATATTCACAATTCTTTCCTTTTGATATTGGACGGAATTATTTAAATAATGTCCTTAATAGTGTATTCGTACTTTGATTAAGGCTGAAATTGAGAATAAACATTCCGTTGTGTTTAGAACTCTTTAGTTGCAACTAAATCTTAGTGTTTTTATTCATATTGAGATTCAAATCTTAAGTTATTCACAATTTATTAGTTACAGTCTCTCACACTCACAGTCACTTCTTGCCATGATCTTCTATACGTCTTAAATATACGAGTTATATTACTGAAGCTGATATTAGTGTTTTGAACTGAACCGAGTTGGGTTAGGCGATAATCTATTATACAGAAGACCAATAATGACTCAGAGTTGACTCAAGGTTGGTCGTGCTGGTTAACGCGTCATTAGTTTAGCACAGGGACAAGGTCACATAAGTTGGAGTTCTAATTGGAGATTTTGTTACGTGATATTGAAAGGTTGTCAGGACACAACAATCGCCATCCACTGTTTTTAATTATATATTGTTTACATATTGTTCTCACCAGATATAACTGTGAGTTGTTTCTGATTTTGTGTTGTTATTAAATAGAAAATATTTGAATAAATGTAAATCTACCAGTCTCCTCCTGTTTTTGGCTTTTTGATTGGTGTTACGAAATGATGTAAAAAGATACTGTGTCGCAGCATATGCTAAAATAATTCTGATAGAATGTTTCAGTGATGCAGTTTATTTAGACATTATGTGTAATAATTTTCTTAGTTTGACAGCTTATCCCAATTTTTGATTCATACTATCGCTTTACCAATGATGTAAATAAACATCTAAACCACTGAGCCGGCATCCAACGGTGTTAGGGTCTAAATTCAACCAATCAACGATATTGTGCAAACATCCACCATTGTCTTCAGTGAGTGACTGCTTCACAACACACATGGTTGAACTTTACTGGTTGCGCAATATCGTGAATTGGTTGGAGTTAGACATCAATACCGTTAGATGCCGGTTCAGCGGTCTAGAGGTTAGGCTCTCGCGCCCGAGACCGAAGGTCTTGGGCTCGAGTCTCACGTGCGGGATCGTATGTACGTACTGCTGAAGAATCCCATACGGAGACGAGACGGCTGTCCTGGGCTTTCAGGTTTGTAATGGTTGTTCAGCTTTAATCGACTCACGAATTCAACTATTTAACAAAACTACAATTCACCATCCATATGACTTTACGTCGAATTGAACAAAAAGAATAACAGAGGACAACAAAATTGTATATGACTGAAAAGAATTATTATTTATGAAAATATGAAACCTGAAGCATACGTCTTTGATAGTATAAAAAGGTAACTTGTATCGTTCTAGGTTAAATCATTGGACGATAGACTAACTGGTTTAACCTTGAGGCTAGAAATGCGTGTTTGAAATTAGACTATTTGCCTTGGCTAAAGAGTTCAAAACTATTCTGTCATTGATTGGTTGACAATCGAGAGAGAGAGAAGACAAGTCAATTAAAACACTACACGATTTATTTCCGATTCAGTTTAGTGCAAAAAGATGACTAAGATGAGCACAACGCACAAACAATTAGAAAAATACCATTATTTTCAAACTGGGCATAAGGCGAAAAAATAGATTATCAAAGGTTACTTTTAATTTACAATAGCTTTGAGACAAAAAGGGCATGACAATACATCATAAGTCAAACGAAAGCTTCTGGTTTGTAGAATAAACCAGGGACGAAACTAAATGTTAGTGAATTTCACCTTTTGAATTAAGCAAAATAACCTCTACAAAAATAGCACTGTTTGTTTGTTATGGCATCTTTGCTTCTCTGTTCACATCAGTAAATTATAACGATTAAATCTTTGAATGATGTACTGTTTATATGTAATTATAGAGTAAACCATCTAATAATATGATTATTCAGACCACATAACAGAACATATTTCATTACGAAGTAAAGTAAATACTACCGTATTAATCAAACTTATTTTAATTACCCGATTCCTACGATGTATAATTATAAAATGCCTACGAATTAGTTTATATATCATTTGTATACAATATCTAAGTTCATTACTTTCCTATGAAAAAAGTGAATTCTGTTAATTTATGAATTAGTTACCTGGAAACTATGGATTCAAACCTAAAGCTTAACTTCTAGACCACCACCCATTATACTGAAGTAAATAACTGTATCTACCTGACATGGATTAGCTTCATCAGTAACGTCTTCTCACTAAAACTCCGAGAATTCCCTCAAAAACTAGTCACTAATGAGTACATGGCGGTTGTGAAGATTATTATGTTTTTGATTGCAATTATGAACCGATTGATGTAAGACTACCATTGAAAACCTGAAATCACTGGATTATTGTTTCTTTCAAGTACGGGACTCCTCACCAATATGCATGCACGATCCCACTAACCAGATTCGAACCTACGGCCTTCAGTCTCGCTATTATTTCTTTCTTTTTCATTCAAAATAATTTATTTCTAATAGATTTTCTTGATTGAAGATGTGAATACATTTATTGAATATTAACAATAATTCATTAAAACAAAATAAAGACACATTTTCTATTATATAATAAATATATTCTATATAATAATGAATTAAACTATGATTCTACTATCTAAGTGTAAGTCACAAGTTTCTTCATTCAAAAAAAAAAGAACAAACAAACAACCAAATATTATATTCCATGTTGATTTCAATTGATAATAGTTTGATCTTTTAATAACACGATTTATTTATTTATGAAATAACAAAACATCTAAATAATCAATAAATCAAATAATTCGAAAATCAATATTCAATGAAAAAAGAAATAAATTGAAAGTACAGTTTAGAGAAGAAAACAAAAATAGTTTTTTTTTGGCATTGAACATTTAATAATTATTTAATCAATCAATATTGAATAAATAATGATGTGAGAAAAAAAAATACGTAATTCAAATAATTTTACAAAATAAATTTGTTTCTTTTCAACAACAAAAAATACCCAAACAAACAAACAGACAAACAGAACGAACTTTATTATAATATCGCTACGGAAAAAACATGGTGCGGGTTTTTTTTTTTAGAAAATTGTAATTGTATTATGATGGTTTTTTGCCAAGCCATATTGCATCATCCGGTTCAATAAATTTTCCGGTATCATTACAAATCTATAATGAAAATGTTTTGAAAAAAAAAGAACAAAAGAAACAAACGGAAAAAGAATTAATTTAAATAAATTTTTAAGTTGATAACGGACTAACAACTCAATCGAATGATTAGTGGATCAACTTTCGTCAAGCAATCAATTCACATTAGATATTATTTAGAATTATCTGCTATTATCAAAAAAGAATAGGGTCATAGAATGTTTAGATATGAAATTTGTATACGGTTGAATTTAAAGGAATTCATGAATTCTTATTCCATTCTTTTTTTTTTAGAAAAAAAGGGGGTTCAATCTCTAATCTTATCTTGTCATTAATACATATTCTCATTTTAAAAATCGTAAGTGTCAACTATTGTTTTCCTTCCTTGATTTTTTTAAAGTATACAATTATCTTTTACATGCGTTCTATAAACTCTTGCATGTTATTACCTTTATGATTATTATGTAACTGATGTCCACTACCTAAAAGCTTTACATAAGTCTTCTGTAATATTATTTATTTATTCCATGATAAAATAAAGTAGTAGATAACCCTTGTATTACATGGTTATTAATTTGTTAGTTTTGGTTTCATCCTAACAGTATACAAGATTTGTCATCTACCTTATATATATATATACTTTTAAGATAAAGGTTGGAGGTAATCGACAGAAAACCTTGGACCTACGTTTCGTGTTACTCGACGCTCGTCAGCAGTGTGTACCTGTAATCTTTATGGAACTGATGCTCCCTGACGGATTTGATCCTATTTCTCAACACAGTCCATCCAATGTCTAGTCACCTAGACCAGTGGCTACATTGCAGTATGGTTGATAGAATTAGATATACACTAAGAAGGATCTGACACACATGAAATTAATCACTGCTCAGTGATTAGTCGATAGAAAAGTGTTTGTTACTTGTTTAACATAGCATTTTACATAAAGAGATATTTTCACTTAGACATTTGAATAGAGTGAAATGAATAGAGTGAAGATCTTTTTACCTGGTCTTAGATACAGCTCCTCACCAAAATATATCTCCTATAGCCATCAATATACTTGATAATATGTAATAGCATTCGGATCACAGTGATTTGTTATATGATTTAATATTGGTTAACGATGGTTAGTTAGCAGGTTAAGAAAGTAATTCACAAACTAGTTGAGATAAGCTTTAAAGTTAAGTCGACAGGTATTATTTGACAAATGAGTTAATTATAACATGGATGTATTGTGTAATAAATCTTAACTGTAACTGTTACAGTTACCCAATATTAAACAAACGAATGGTTGTATTAACTATACAGGTACAAATGGTAACAATTACTGATCATATAAGAGCTACTGTATTCAAATGTTGGGCAAGAATATAGAGTATATTGATGACGATGGTAGTGAAATATTTGTAATTCGAACGACATAAAAACGTATTACGCTTCACAAAAATTGGCTTGTTGTATCTCCTGTGTGGCATAACTGGAAATTTAAAGTACGGGTATCACTTTAGTCTACTTATAAGTAGTTCAAAGTATTAAGGTAAAAATGTAGACTATTCACTATGAGTGCAATATTGAAACGTTTCATTAACGTTTGCAAATCTTTTCATATTTACCGATGTCATGTTTACACCAATGAGGAGTTTCACACCAGTAAGAAGTAGCTATTAATTCCACTAAAGTTTCCATTAATTGACCACTTGATAACTCTGTTACTTAAACGCATATTCTTGCCTTTTTGAGCGCTTCCTACTATTGTGTTCTCGTCAATTATAATTAATTCATTAAGTACAAATTTTGTATCATATGTACTACCATAAGATTTTACTCAATCTTAACTTTAATGTTTCATAAACTAAAAATATTTGGGTTTTGTTCTCTTGTTTTGCTATATTCACAGTAAATCCTACTAATTTAGCTAGACGAAGCATCAGTAGATATATTCATTGTTAAACGTAACAAATTTACACTTAAGAATAACCAAGAGAAAATAGATATAAATATATTTTTTAAACCTTTAATTTATTGAAACACAAATGTGAACCGTATTTATATCTTACAAGACATGTTATCAAGATGCACACAATTTATATGAATGATAGTAAGTATATCTTGACTTTTACTACTTCAATACATTTTAAAAGATGCCACTTGTCATATATTTACTTATGTCCATCTAACGACTTTGACGGCACTTATAACCTTAGGTATTGGAAGTAAGTGCTGTTACATATAATCAATTTACTGTGTTACAAATACTGACCTGACAATTTAATAATCTCAGAACTAAATGTTTAAAAAGAACATTTATGTTAATGAATAATCTCGGATGTATGTGAAGATGGCCCACGGCTAAACTGAAGGAGGCTATAAAAAGTTCAGAAAGAGCCAAAGACATTCCATACAACCATCTATTGAAGATACATTCCCTATTGGACAAAATTTAAAAACCAGTGTATGAGGACTGAATGACAATAATAATGATTCCGCTTTTACGAAAAAAACTATAAATACCTGAGAGCTTTGTACCACATACGACACTGATTTGTGATAGTATTCCTTCTCACACATTTTTTGTCTTCTCATTTGCAACAACGAGGGTTCTAGTGTTCGAGTGCTCAATTTGTACGCGGTGTATTAAGAATCTAAGCTCTAGATATAAAAACTGGCGACGATGATGGGATTTCAACACACGCGGAGAAACCGCAATGGGTAAATTAAAACTAATATTATTCAACTCAAAAAATTTTTAAAACATCAAATTGATTTGAAAAACTGTACACAAGCGAATTTATGAATATTCGGAATAATATTATCATGCTATAGTATGTAAAGTTTAAACAAAATATGACTAAATAATTTTGACAAAATAAAAATTCAGATATTAATAAATTTGCATTTATTACTTAACAAATATGAAGTACTATTCATGTCTGATTAATGCAATAAAATTCTTAGTGTTAATTCAAAGTAAAAAATGAGAAAAATGTTATACAAAATGTTGGGACGGCTTTCGGTAATAACGATGGAGCCTCCAGAGGCCCTGAAGGAGTCGAAGAGTTTCCATCCAATCAGAACGTGATGGAGCTTTCTAGAATATTGACGTGGCCTACTACGATTGTATAGTAGCATAACTTGTCTCTTTGTGGATTGGCTGAATTTTAATGATGTCATAACAAATGCTAATATGTATAAATACCCATGACTTTCTGTCCATTTCCATTCTTACTCAACAAACACTTACCCAACTTTCTTTTATCTTCTGATTTTGCGACTGTGGGGTTCTATACGTTCGAGTGCCGTTATTAAATGCCATAACGCAAAATAACTTATAATCAACTTTCAGAAGTTTAGCTGTTTAGAGTGAAAATATGTAATTTAATTATTGTATTAACACAAGTATATATAACGTAAAAAGAATGACTTACTTCACAATGTGCTTTATGCTCAGACCAGATTTTCAGATACGCCTCTAATCTAGAATAAAGTGTCCCATTGAGTACATCAAGGACATCACACATACGAAAATAATCAGGATTACCCAACAAATAGCTTGGTCCAGAAAGCTTTAGGAAAGCATACAAAAAACAAAACTTTTGAATTTACTGACAAATTAAGAAATTTATACTATAGTGTAAATTACAGTAGACTTCATTCCCATTCCCATCGCCACCTGTCCAAGGAATTCTTGAAATTCTTAAACTTATAAAGTACAGTAACTTTTGTTGGTTAAGTATACTCAAATAACGGTTTTTAAAAGTTTAATAGTTACGCCAATATGATCCATCTTTGTTTATAATGCTTGTGAATTAAGGTAACGTCAATGCAATACGCACAGTATGCACATATAAAAATAAAACACTGATCAATTGAGGTCCTAAACAACAGTGGGAAGATCCGAATAAAAAACACCAAGTGAAATTACACCAGTACGTTTAAAAATGTGTTTTTAAAAAATCCGAATTCGTCAGATTGTGTGCATAGATTTTCATATACTTAGGTCTCGTTCTACTAGAAGATATACAAGGAGAAAGATATGAATGAACGGGATGGTTAGATTCTGATAAGATAACAACTTCCAGGAGTTTGTAAGACTTTAGATGTCTATCTACAATCATATTAATAATGACTTAAAAAGATCCACCACACACCTTTAGCACTCTCCACAAACAGCAAAGTCTTTTCTCAAAATCCCGGGAAAGAATAATGGAGAACAGTAAAGAATAATAAGGTAATATGCAGGAATTGACAAATTGTAAGAGTAAATGTCGAGTAATTTTAAAAGCATGTAACCTCCTTATGCAGTAAGTCAGGCGGAAAACTTTCTTCGATAACAGTAAAACATAAGAAGACCAAAAGAGATCAAAGTAAAAAGTAATATCAAGATAATTGATATTCGACACTTTGTTTATCAAAGAGTCTCCAATGGCACCAGCATTATGGGAACTCACAATGCTGTTTAGGTGCCATTCATGTCTTAAGCTAAATTTAACAGCTTGACATTTAGACGGATTAACTATGAGACCGTTAACAACATATCACAATTCAATATGAGACAAAAACTCATTCATTTCCATGGGATTTAAAGAGGTAGAAATCAGCATACATAAAATGAGATCGTCCTCATATATCACAAAAGTGTTTTCTGCGAAAAATGGCAGATCATGCAGAAAAAAAAGTGAAACGAAGGAGTGAAAGTACAGATCCTTATGATACAACTTCATGAGACAGTAAAAATGCTGAACACATTTCTCCAAACACACCATACGTCTCTTTTCCAGAGAGATAGGAATGTAACCGATTAATTGTTCAGATGTCGGTGTTGATGCTGACTTACTTGTTAAATTAAAGTTTTCTTGGGATACAATCAAAATCAGGAGTATAATCAAGAACATATTTCTTACCCTTTTCCAATCTGAACACTATACTGTGATGCAGAACAGCAACGGCATCTTACTTACGTCTGTTACTCCCAATGGAGTATAGGCTGCTGACCAGCATTCTCCAACCCTCTCTGTCCTGAACCTTCTTTTCTACTTCCATCCAATTCTTTTTCATTCTTCTCATGTCCGTCTCCACTTTCCGGCATAATGTGTTATTTGGTCTTCCCCTTTTCCTTTGGCCTTGAGGATTCCATGTGAGAGCTTGTCTTGTGACGCAGTTGGGTGCTTTCCTCAATGTGTGTCCTATCCACTTCCAGCGCTTCTTCCTGATTTCTTCCTCCGCTGAGATCTGGTTTGTTCTCTTCCACAGTACGTTGTTGCTAATAGTGTCCGGCCAACGGATCCGAAGTATTTCGCGTAGACAACTGTTAATAAACACCTGTATTTTCCGGATGCTGCCCAGATATGTAAAGGTTTTTACATCTTCCAAATCTTCTCCGTCAATTCTGATTGGATTGGTGCATGCTGTGTTGTATCAGAGAATCTTGCATTTCCCTTTGTGTATATTGAGACCTGCTGCTGCTGAGGCTGCTGCTACACTGGTCGTCTTCTCCTGCATTTGTTGTTGCGTTTGGGATAGGAGGGCCAGATCATCTGCGAAGTCTAGATCGTCCGACTGCATCCTAGATGTCCATTGTATCCAGTGTTTCCCTTCAGATGTTGACGTCTTCATGATCTAGTCGATCACCAGGAGAAAGAGAAAGGGTGAGGGTAAGCAACCTTGCCTAACACCGGTCTTTATTTCGGACGAGTCTGTGAACTGTCCTCCATGCACGATTTTGCATTTTAATCCATCATATGAATTCTGTATGATATTGACTATCTTCTGAGGCACGCCATAGTGTCGAAGAAGCTTCCATAGTGTTGTCCTGTCCACGCTGTCAAGTGCTTTCTCGTAGTCAATGAAGTTGATGTAGAGTGATGAATTCCATTCAATCGATTGTTCCACAATGATCCGTAGAGTTGCGATTTGGTCTGTACAACAGCGTCTAAGGTAGTTCTTTTACATTTGTAAGCAAACTGATACAAATCAATGTGCATGTTGAAATGGGAGTATCAATAACGTTAATCAATACTAAAAATTTCATATGGTAGGTAACATAATACGTAGGTAACATAGGTAACATAATTACGTCTTTCGTAAATTTGTTTACTCAATACACATAACAAACATGTAATCAATCATTAAAATTTCCGAAAAAAATTTTTATAATAAGAATGTATAATCAATCATAAGTTAATTATTCACTTTAATAGTAGAATATCAATTGTACTAATCTATCATGCGACATATATGCTAGATGAATGTATACCGTCTATAAAGTTAATTTATGAAGAACTGTATTACCATGTATACGATTATTAGTAAACTAAATTATATCTAGTTTAAATTGAAATAATCTGGTGTTATGTAATCAGTTTTATAGCTAAGTCTTTAAAAGCATTCAAATCTTTTAGATATTTTACATATAACTAGAATTTTATGATAGATGTTGTATGTCAATAACATATCCTTGAAATCCTTATTTTATTTTATAAGTTGGTAAATTATCTTTACTCATTATGGTGTACAATATGTGTACAATTATGTAAAACTTTGAAATTGACAAATAAGTCTACATTTAAAGAGAAAGATTATAATTTTAATAAGTTTACTGGTTAAATGGAGATAAAAACGGTTAGTATTATTCTTCATTTAAATGACTATTCCTATATAATAAATAAATAACCGAAAATAAATTTATAAACAAAGATGAATAGTGGCTAGTAAAGGTATTTAGGAAACGCGTTTCGTCCTATTTGGGACTCGTCAGCTGGATATAGCTGCTGCCGAGTTGGTATTAACCTTAGGACTCGAACCCAATATCGTTCGCTTCAAACGTCATCTCGTTTTCCACTTAGCTACTGAGTCCTGATAGCCACTTGCTTGTGCAATGGGGTGAATTTTAAATATATCTTATATTGTTTGTTGATATTTAGAAATGCAACTGATCAGCCTCTTATTGGCATCTGTGCATCCTGTACGGATTGCCTTGATATTGCTTTAAGTCATAAGCATTATAATTAAATATAACTTTGTCGATAAAAAAAACTTACTTCAGCACTAGCCTTTATGGAAGAAGCCTGTGCACATAACATTGCGTAGCGTAAAAGTGTTTGTAATTTGGTGCGAACCTCGTAAACCTTTCCAGCTTCAAGGTTATCTCGATGCCAATAAGCTGGAACTTTCAATATCAAAGAATCCCAAATAACGCGCAATTTAATGTAAACTGAGCGACAAACCTGTTTAGAAAAGAATAATGAATGGCTTAGACTTCATAAATCAAAAATGATTATTTTGTTTTTAAACTGAATGGAAACTCACAATGATTAAACTGATAGTTTTGAAAAGATTTTAAATGCGTTTTTCTACCAGATCATGGACACATATATTTCTAGTAAGTAAATTGAACCTTATCTAAATTACATCAATAAATCGTGTATTCTAATAATAATACTGATAATAATAATACTCTGACTATTAGCAAAATACTGGAAAAATATTAGAAATCCAAATCTAGAACGGCATGGGTTTTAAGGGTTCTCTTAATATCAACCTAAGATAAACAAAGTCATTGTATGATATAAACTACAAAAAGGTTTGATTAATTGAGTATTTAAATTTATCTCTCATGGAAGTGTTTGAAAATGCGTTTAATTCGTCGCTAAATATTTAACTGATATTATTACTTTATAGATGAGTCACAATTAAATTTACTCTAGATATTATTGCACACTGATATTTAAAAGTATATTCTTAAATTATAAAGCAAATGAATATACCCCTTATATGCGAAAGATGTTTCTGTCACCTATGATAGAAAGTAATCGCTGAATTTTGTATAAAAATGTTAAAATTAATGATGAATGTTTAATGATTAGATGAAAACAGACTTACAGGTTGTTTAGATGTATCGTTTAGGAGGAATATTGAACCTGGCACATACCAAGTGTCATCCCAGTGACAACGTTCGCAATAATATTTTCCAGTCATATGACAAATACGCATAGTTGTAGCTTGTGAAGTAACGTCGCTTTGACTGAACTGATGTTGCGAACGAACACGTCGTAAGTGTGAAAATATTTCTTTGTATGATTTCTGACGTCTCACTGATTTGTGATTATTATTATTGGACGAAACATTATTTCCATTCATTTTATTATTTGTTTTAAGTTCATGTCCGCTGTGTGAATCTAATACACATCCACATTCAAAGCATTTATTAGACTGAAGGCCAGGTAGTGCTGAAAGGAATACTGCTTCTAAATCTATTATTGGGCTTTCTTCAAATTTAATTGCATAGTTTCCTAAAGATTGCGGAAATAGACATTTTGTTACTAAAATGATTTGGAAATATAACTGTCGAAACAATAGCTAGTTAATTACTCATATACATACGGTTTTTCAAACTGAATGTGTATAGGATAATATTAAATGATAATCAAAGATCAGATCAAGATGAAAACAACAGTTTACTCAGAACTTTGTGACTCTACCCTCTAAAGCATAATTACAAAGTGGAAAACTAATATTCTCCTCAAAACTCATGCTATTTTGTAAAGAATACGAGTAAGTATTTGATTACAATTAGTTCCCTAAGATGTAGGAAAAATGGACTCTAAAGTTTCTCCTAAATACTATGACATCTTGTTGTTTATCATAAAACATTTTGTTTAAACCATCGATTTTTACACAAATGAGATACATAATTTTAAACAGTTGCATAAGTCATTATTAGAAAGATGTGATTTTACTTTTGGCGAGGCACTTATCACTGACATTGGATTTACAGACTATTGAGTAACGGTCTGTGGTTCAAATGTTAGGCGCTTGTCACGAAGCTTGTAGAAGTTGAGTTAGATTTCCGGTGGTGTTGTGAATGAAAACTGTTTAGGTGTTTCATACTGAAAAGAAAAGGCTGTTCAGTGTTTGATTGTTTTTGATGTTTATCTGACGAAAATCAATTCGACAGTTTCTACAGACCCTCTTTACAGTAATGATATTCATATACTAACTGGTGAATAATTCCTTGGGTTCTAGTGAGAGGCTGTGAACACTGGGATCTCGCCATACCAGGTATTAGGCAGTTCTGACATACTTTTTATTGAATTAAAAGAACTCAGAAAAGATATACTATTCTTTACTTAAGGTTACTAAAATTCAGTACAGAGTTCCAGTTTGAGCTAATTAGGGTAAGCTCATTTATAAATAAATCAAGAATGCTTAGCATAATGTACAGATGAATTAAATCTTCCGAGTTGTTCGTATCAAACGTAATTGTGTGGTTTATGTCAAAAACCTTTATTTCTAAAGGTCACTTGTACTGGTTGCCTCCCTGAGCATCACGTAGTAAGAAATAATCTGTTTTCAACAATAATCGTCTTATGGTGAATAATAAAAAAAACTGTATTTTGTTAAACAACGGTCAAGTATCATGTGAAATTTTTTAAATCTCCTAATATTTTCATTTCTGTGTTGAACTAAAATTTTCATATTTTATGTATCATAACGAAAAAGAAACTTATATGTGAAATTTGAATGAACATCAGTTTGCAGAGTATTCTAGAGAATTCGATCAAGATGTATAATCCAAACAATTGAATGTCAGAATGTGACAAACAAATTTGTACATCAATTGTTATGATGAAATAATTAACTGTTCAAAATTAAATGAAAATAACACATCAACGAGTTTAGCTAGTTATCCTATTCTCTACCTTCTCGCTTCGTGAATGTTGTTTAAGAAATTCAGAGGACGAAAAGTGAATGTCTGATGCTTTATCGGGTTGGTGGATATGGATTATCCACCTATGGAAATTAGAAAACCCTGATTGCAAACCAGAGGTGTACATGGGCTTCAGAATCCTGAGGGAACGAAATGCGTATGAACCTATTGTTGGTCATTGGCTACCATGTGGTTGCATCTCCTTACATTTCTCCACTGCGGATCAAACCATCAGGTAAAAGGCTCCGGCTGTGGCCTCCTAAGAACATCACCTGCTTCGATTTCGGCAATTAGATAATAGCACAGCCCTCACGCATATCAGTGATAACTGCTAGTGACCTCATTATTATTGTGTAGCGCATATGCATTTGGTGTCTCCCCTTGTACCAATGTTTATGTGTTCAAATAAATAGCTAGTTATTAATATCATGATTTATCTTTCTTCATAAAAGTTTTATGTATTCATTAAATGAAATATAAACATTTTTTATGTCATTACCAACAGTGTTTCTATTCTGAATTGACTTATGATTGAATGTTTAATAGTGAAAATATTATTATTGAAAATATAATTAGGACTTGACACACATGACATTGGTCACCACCCAGTGATCAATCAATTGTGATTACATCTCAGTCATACAGGAGGTTGGTAGCGGCTCGGATTGCTCAGTGGTACCGTCTCTGACTGTGAAGCTGGGTGACACGGGATCGAATCAGTCGGGATGCAACAGTTCCCTCAAGATTACAGGTACACCTTGCTGACGAGTGCCAAGTAGCACGAAACCCGGGTCCAGGGTTTCCTGTTGACTACCTCCAACCACCATCTAATCTCATAATATTGCACGCAGTGTCAAGTCACCTAGACTGGTGGCCACATTGCATCATGGTCGATAGCATTCGATCTGCACTAATAATAAGGATTTGACGCACATAACATTTGTCACCACCCACTGATCAATCAGTTGTGATTGAAAATATACTTTTGATCACTTGAATAAAAAATGGTGGGATTTTCAGAATTTTAGTTCGTTTTTTTTTAATGTTTAATAAATGTTATTAAAGGTTGATATAGTTATATTTTGTGGCATAAATTAAGACATTTTCGTACGGCATTTATAAATTAAGCAGGCTAACAAAAAATGTACATTTCGATAGTGTAATAATAAGATGATGATTATCAGAAGTAATATGATATACCAGTGAAATACATTTCGAACAATCTGAACAAACGTAAAATACTTGTTTCAAACATTTCGGGATAAAAATAAAAGGTCAATAAGACTAGAAATCAGTCAGTAACAAAGCGTATTACTCTGTAAAGGTCATTATCAAAGAAAGAAAAAGGTTCATGCTTCATCGAAAACCTATAAGAGATGAAAACAATTGCGTCACATCCTACTGTGTTTACCAATTTAAATTGTTGTGTGGTCATGCATACATACATAGGGAGGAGTAATCGTGATCCTAAAATTACGGTAAGTGAACATGTACCTAAATGCTTGCAGAAACAAAGAAAATCAAATGACCCAATAATAGTAAAGAATAAACATCCAGAATCCTCTGTTGCCAAACACAATTGGAACAGGTCATATGATTGATCTTACCCGGCTTTTGTGGTGGAGATGAATTGTAGCTCAGATCGATGATCTTGATGGAGTTTTGTTCTCTGAGTTGGATGGTTTGGTCGTGGAGCTTTCATCGTAAACATGGTAAATACAGTGGGATATGACGCAATTGTTTTCATGTCTTTTAGGTTTTTGATGAAGCATAGTCCTTTTTCTTTCCTTAATAATGACCTTTGTAGCGCTATACGTCTTTTCAATGACTGATTTAGGCCTTAGCCATATGACAATTAAACCCACCTTTTGTATTCAAATATAGTTTGCTCCTACATTAAACTTATCCTGGTAATATTAACTTATTATGCAGAGTGATAAAGTTTCAAATTGTTTTTTTTCCATATTATATTCACTATTATCCTTGTCTCCTTTTACCTTCCATTTCTATTCTAGTTGACATTTTATTTTATATATAAATTTTCTTAACTAGTATATATGTGATCGGATTATTCTAAATGTATTGCGCAAATATATCACATAGTTCTGATAACCTTTGTCTTATTCAATCACTACGATTTTGTAAATATATTCTTCCTCTTTAATATTTTATAACTCAGCACCCAAATAATATGAAACTATTCATTCAAATTTAGACGAAAGTCCTTATATTACTGTAACTGTAAATGTTTTAATGCAAAAATCACTCATATACACTAGAAGATTATAACAACAATAAAATTAAGTAGTAAAGGTTGTGATTTGTTCATTAGTACCATTTGTATTAATTTAATTCATTTATTTACTTTTTACAAAAAAAGCTTACATTGTCACGAAATATTGGAAGCACTGGACGGCCGTTTCGTTTTATTTTAGGACTCCCTAGCAGTGCGCACCCACGATCCCGCCTCGTAAGATTTAAACCCGATACCTATCGGTTTCGACCCCACAATAGAACGAAACTACAGTCCAGTGCTTCCAGGTTTTCCATCGTGGTCTAGTTTCAATTGACTCACGATCTCAACTATTAAAATTACTATAATATCAACAAAACCCCTTCTGACATTACTTTTCTAAGAAAATCATTCACCTAATGCCAACTTTATTTGACATTATCATGTCAAATCTTAGTTATAATACTTATAATCAAAACAGGGATCCTGTAGGTGGAACATGTTATGAAAGTAAAGTAAGCACTAAATGTGAACTAAAGAAAAAGAGATCATCTTTATAAAAAGAATCAATAATCATGATGACCATATATTTCAATCTATAGTTAATTTACTCACATGTAATGGGATTAAATAGAACAGATGAAATAATAGTTTTAATAAAGATTAGTTAACCATCTTTAAAATCATTTTAATATAAAATAATAAACTTTTGTTTTCAGATTCAATTAATTACATAATTAATATGTAGTGAACAAGAACATGAGTGGGGATAACCGAGTGCATTTGAACAAGAAATTATAGAATATCTCACTAAAATCTAAGCACCAGAGTAAATCTTTAATTTGCAAAATGTCAATCGACTGTCTCAAATTTGACTGTTTCTTTAGCAAATATCAGTCCATCGTCTCAGATTCTATTGCTTCTGCATTTTCATACTAAGTACTTTTCGTTCTCGTTCTTTCCTTCTTGATCTTCTACTGAAATACATTCTATTCCTGACTATCGTTATATATTACTTATGTGCATATAAGTAGCGCACATCACAAATAATGCTCATATTTTGATGATTGTACCAGTTCACGTTTAACATTAAACAATGAAATCATAAAATTAAGAAACAATTTTTTTAAAATAATCTTAATAGCTATTGAAAAAGCAATTTGTCGATCCATTCAAATATTTTATTATAAATACTTAATAAAAATACCAAACTAATTGTATGATGTGTGTTACGGATGTCGACAGATATAAGTAGTATGTATCGTTAATCAAAATTGAAATTCCTAGTGTCAGAACGTTAAGAAGATCAAATAAAGGAAAATGAGAACAAAGAACAATTAGTATAAAAA